GGTCTTTTGTGTTTGTCGGTCACGTCGGGTACGTAGTCAACGGCTCGCCTGAGGTGGGGATTGCCATGTCTAACGGCTACGTAAAACCGGTTCTTCGCGTTTTTCTTACTGTCTGTGTGGCGTTTGTATATTGTAAGTCTCGTAATATGTCAGTGTTTCTTACGTACCAGGGCGCGTCGGTGGCCGTGCGGAGGGCTGTTTTCCACAGCCTGTAGTGACTTCAAGTGGCTTTTTGCCGCGTGACCCCACGCCGTGGAGGCGTAGGTTAGCTGCGGTTGAAGTACCACCTTGATAAGCGTTCGCTTATTCCTTAAACTGAGGGTGTTTCCACCTTTGAGTAAGGGATAGAGCCTAGCCCTGGTGGTCTTCGCTCGCGCCACCGTCTCCACGATGTGCGGTTTCCACGTGAGACGCTGGTCCATCGTCACGCCCAGGTATCGTGTTTGTCGATTCCAGGAGATGGGTTCCTGGGATAGTGTCAGTCTGTCGAGGTTTTGTGGGATTTTTCGTTTGGTAAAAAGGATAGCCGAACTTTTGTTGGGATTAATTTTGACTTTCCACCTGTTGCACCAGGTTTCAAGTTGGTCTAAGGAGCTTTGGAGGAGGTAGACGGAATATCTAGGATCTACGGATTGGGATGTGATTGTCAGGTCGTCGGCGTATAAGTATATGTTGGTGTTGGGGGGATGTGGGATGTCGGAGTTGTAAATGGTGTATAGGTGTGGGGACAGGACGGTGCCCTGGGGGACACCGGCCTCCATGGGACGGGTGGTGGAAAGGGAATCTTGGATTTGGATGCGGAATTTTCGGTGGTGTAGGTAGGATTTTATGAGTTTGGTAAAGGATATGGGATATTGGTTGGTGAGCATTTTCATCAGTAGGCCTTCATGCCAAACCGTATCGAAGGCCTTTGCGACGTCCAGGAAGACAGCACCAGTGTACTGTCCCCTGTTGAAGGCCACCGTGAAGTGCTCGGTAAGGCGAAGGATTTGGAGTTCAGTGGAGTGATTGGGTTGGAAGGCGAACTGCTCGTCTGGAATGACTTGCAGTTCTTGGTGTGTTCAACCGACCAATCACATTGATAGAGTAGTTTTTTGTAGAATCGAGTCAATAAAACGACTGGCGGAGCGAATTAAAACCTTTTTCATTTTGTGCTGGTACAAACTAACAGCTCGCGTGTGATTACAATAAAATCAAATATTTTAATTAAATTTAATCACTAAGTGAACAAGAATCTACAATAGGTAATTATTTAAATGTTAAATTTTAGTTTCTCTAGATTTGATCCAGCAAAGTCCAGCCTAGTTAACTATTAGAATTTTTTTTTTTTTTTTTGTAAAAACCATCGATGATGTGTAACCACGTGCTAATTGAATTTTGTTTCTTCCATTTTCTCTCAACAGAGCTTACCAGAAAATTTTATACTGTTTAAAATAATTAGAAAATTTAAAGTAGAAAATTTTACATTGTTTAAAATATAAAATTCTAGAAAATTCTATAAAATTCTAAAAATTCTAAAATATAAAATTTTAGAGTTCTACATTAAAGATAAGAGCAGTTGTCTTATTTAAGACTTAAAGACATAAATTTTGTTGGTATTTGAGGAAGTCAAAAT